CATTAATGAGAGACTGGGTATTTCGCAGTAAAAATTTCACATCGAATTTATACCAACCATTGATCAAATTTTCGTCAAATTTTGAAGATCGAAGATAGGTTGGTCGGAACACGTACCTATACTCTCCACGAAGCAGACTGATGCCCTCGGAGGAACACGACGTTGAGACAATGCGGTACTGCCGTAACGGTATAGGGGTGTTCAAACGAATTCTTGCCGGAACACTATCGATATCGTCTCTTATTGAAACTGGCGACAGTACCGACAGTGGCGATGATATCGTGAACAGCCGGCCTTATCGGATTTTTGAGAGCTCGCACTCAATGCATCGTCGGTTTATCAGTTATCGTGACTTTTTCTTAACAAAACTGTTTCGGTAGCTTACCGACAACCGATAGACAGGGCCGGATTTACCAATAGGCTACATAGGCTATAGCCTAGGGCGCAAAATTTTGAGGGGCGCAAAATTTTTGAGAAGTTATTAAAAAGCGTGACTTATTAAAAAATGTCTACGTTGTGGTTGACAAAGGTGTTGTTTTAAAGGTGAATTTGAACATTTTCCGGACACCTAACATCCTCCTTCTGATCTGGAGGGGAGGGGCGTCTGGGGGGACTCCCCCCCCCTCCACGAGAGTGCCTACTTTTAGGGGCGCCACCCTCAGTTTAGCCTAGGGCGCTAAAAATGTAAATCCGGCCCTGCCGATAGAACAGCCCTAACTAACGGAAAACGCCACATGAACATTTGAGAGTTGCCAAATTGCCCTAGATAAAATATGAATTTTTGAAGAAAATTATGGGAATTTTTCCTTGAAATTTTCAGACGTTTTAGATAAAAATTGAGATAAAATTGGCTAAAAAAACTTGAAGAAAACTATTCCCAATTTTCCTAGTAAATTAGGTTTTTATTGAAAGAAATATGGCAACGTCTGATGGTTCATACGGCGTTTTTCCTCCACGTCCAAAAAAACCGTTGACGGTCAGTTGAAACTTCTGGAACGGCGAGAAGACGTTCGACGGTCACGGTTAGGGCATTGACGGGACGATTGGACGGGAGTAAAGACCTGCGGAATAAGGCGGCGCGGGTGCCCAACAGACCCAGGAAGAAGGGAGGAGAAAGGGACGAGACAGGAGACCCTTCAACAACGACCAACGGCGACATAAGTCGATGGAGTTAGCAGACTCGAGCGCGATTAACCAATTGAGCTTTTGAGCCGGGCTACACTTCTCTCACGATACAATACGTGCTACATTAGAGCGGATCAAATAAATTCTCGCAGTCTTCGCCCCTGCCACTCTCCATCCAGTCATCCGTAAGCGTGCAGCTACGACTCCCTTGCGTCTCGCGTCAAGGTCTCCCGTGCTGGATTACTTAGCCTTTTTCGACTAATTTAATCGGAGATATAGCCGCGCGCCAGAGTCAGTGGGCAAGCCGACACTTTATGCCCGCTCTCTTATCACGTCTTGACGCCGGTTAATCCTCTGGCTAAAATTTGATAGAAATAATGCAAAATCATAAGAGTAACACGTAACGCACATGGCTTGAGGCGCGAAGCGCTTTAAGGGATTGGACCGCAAAGCGGTGAGGGGGCGTATCCCTTAATTTGATAGAAATACGAAATCCCCGATCAGTTTCAACCGGAGGCTGATACTCTTCAGTTCCAAAATGGCTTAACGGGGTTGAAATAGTTCCTGCGGGTCACATTAAATTTACCATACAGGACCTGAACCTCCCAAAAATAGCATTCGAAAGTTTGCCCGGACTTGTGACTTTTGATTAGATGGATGGGAAAACCGGTCCGCATTAAAGCAAATAAATAGGTATTTATACTTAAAATAATAAAATTTGGGAACCTTCCGTATTTATTTACCTCCATTAACCCTTTTAATCTCTCTCATACCAATGAGACCAAAAAAAACCGCGTCTTCTAACAATTTAAATTTTTGCTGTTCCTGCATACATTTACATATTAGACATTTTCCATTTGTTCACAAACATTGCTGGTTCAGATTTATATCAACTGCTTCCAATTAATTCTCAGAAAATGTTCACGGAAAAAAAGTTTGCACTGTCTTTTTTAACACTGCCAGTGTAGCGTATTCAGTTCTATGTACTTCCGTTTCCTAATCGGACTATAAGTATATATACAAAACTTCCGCATCTATCTCTCAGAAGAAAATTCTCGAAAAATCTGGTTTTTTGACTCTTGAAACATTAAACGAAACAATGTTTACATATGTCGTCAAAAATAAAGCTCTCTATCGTCAAAATCTAGTCCTAAATGATTTTCTTACACGCAGAGCGATCAACCGCAGTTGAAATGTATGGCCAAGAAAAAGAAATACACTTCTAAAGCACTCGAAAACGACTCACAAGAAATACCTCACGGAGTATTTTCGAGGTGAGTACATTTAAAATATAAAAAATACATTATCTTTTGAAAAATATGTTTAGCAAGGCAAATAAAATACTGAAAATCTAAGGGAATGCTAAAAATCGACCTTGCAAATTGATTCGAGCTGGAAATCGGAACATACGCGTATGTATCTTGTCTTGACACACACGTGCTTTTTCATGATCTAGAAAGAGTTTTAGTTCATTTCCGGTCGTGCGAGGCAATAGAGGTTACTCACGTTTTTAAATCACGTTCACGTTCCCAATCCCAATCTAGAAAGAGGACGTTTGAATCTGCGAAGTTCCGTGCTCATCATGCTGCTGTCGTTCAACTGATTGTGAGCGTCGGGCGTGCAGGTGAGTGCCCGCATTTTTGAATTTTCGCGGCAGTATTTGAATTTAGCAACATTTGTCAGACTTTCCCGCGATACCGTGTGCGCATGCGCAGAGCAATTAGCGCGCTGTTTTGTTTACATTTTGCCAGTGCTCGAAAAAAGACGGCGAAAGTTTATGGACAGTTCTTTTTCTCGAAGAATATTTCAATTTCATTAAAACCTGAAGTGAAGATTTGGCCACCAAGTGTATTGGAGTTTTCAAGCACTCAGTATCTTTTTTGCAGAGTCAACTTTACCGGGCGTCACCGCTCATGATGCCTTATCATGTGGAAGCTAATCAAAGTTTTGGTATTGTTGATCCTAGGTTTCAACGCAGAACTATTCAGCATCGATTACGACCACCCTAGTTTAACATATCTATTCGACGATTCGTCTTTACTTGGAATTTAAATATCACTCAGCATATTGTTCCCCCATTGATTTGTTGCAAGCGACTGGGATGGAATGTAGAGCGGACTTGCAAGGTACACTCTGCGGACTTGGAGGAATCTGATGTCATTCAGTTGTAAGTAAGCGATTTTCATCGTAGCTCTATAGAAAATCTCTCCTAGTAACAATAATGACAGAAAATTTAGCTTCTCAGTAAACCAGGGATCTTGCTGAGTACATGTCCTAAAACTTCAGGGATCATCCGTTTCATGGTAAGTACCTACCTATGCGTTTACTAACTGCTGCTGTCAATATGGAATGATTGAAAGGTAGAACTGGGGGAAGAAAAGAAGAGACAAATGTCACATCAAAAAATTCTACCATTCAACAGATATTTATATGCTAACCAATGGGTCAACTGATGATTGATGCATCCAGACTGATATGACTTTTGTTTTGTCTCTTCTTTTCTTTCCCCAGTTTTCTAGCTCATTCCCTTTACCCTTAAATTATAGCGGAAATCTTGACAAGCAGGTAGGCTTTATTTTTGGACCCTATTCCATAGATCCGGCTGTTAGAGGCGCCGCCAAGTAAGTGAACACGCTTTAAGAGCGTACCAGAAGGTCTTCTAAATTCTTCTGAATTCTTGTAATTACTTTCAATGCTAAACTTAAAACAACTGATCTTTTATCATACTATTTAAGAAGAGCGCAAACTTTTTTGGCATGGTCTTCAGTGGAAAATTTGCTCATTACCTAGCATAAGTTTTGTCTGTAAGAAATAACTGCAGAATCCGTAACAAACTCATATTCTCAACTTAATTCAATTTTTGAGGAGATTCTTATTATTAGAAGCAATTCTTTTCCTATTCTGTAGAACAGCTTTGTGTCAGGAGATGCTAGGTGTCTTGGACTTATCAAAATTTGGCTCTCTAGAGCATTTGAACCTCAATTTATACCTACTGTTGATAGAAATAAAATGCAAGACTATGTATAATTCGATTCTACTTTTTTTCTTCTTTAAATTTACAGAATTCCAGTATGACAGCTCAAACTCATTGTGTTCCTAATATCATCAAAGTCTTTTTATTCAATTCCGGTGGTTTTGACTTTAAATTCCGCTCCCATCTAGTAGTCTTGAGGAATTTCAACAGGTAATAAATTGTGATGGTTGTCTTAAATTCATTAATTTTCTTTATGTGACAATGTTTTGCCAGTAGGAAATTTTTTGTGTGAAGGTGCGTGTAACGCCATTTGATCTAAGTATTTGGTTGGTATCAGGTAAAGAAAATTTGTCCTACGTCTGCAATGTTCAAGGCATTCAATAGAGATGGCAATAATTGGTGTAACATATTTTTCACAAGATATTTCTGGAAAAGGTAAAAATAAAATAGGATAAATAAGATAAGATAAGAAAGAGAGGAAATGATGACGATAGAATAATAAAAAGGAAGAAAGAAGAAAAACAAAAAAGCATTTCCACTTTAGGTGAGTCAAGAAGGTAATTGTGGAGAGAGGGGGGAGGGAAGAACTTGGGTTGTTTACTTTCATTATTTTTCGTGAGGAGTGAATTGATTTTTGCCCAGAAGAGAAAAAAAACTGAAGAAAAGAATTCATCGTACCTAAATATTGAAAGTATGTAGCCAGGAAATTCTACCCAGAAAATTTTAAGTTAACTTCACAAGTTTGAGTTGAGAGTGAAATGAAGTAATCCAGGCAGATGCTACCTGAAAAAAGCCACTAGGATTCTTGCATGCTAGAGAGTCAGAGCTTTCAAGCTAGAATTGGACCAGTGGGGAGGGGAGTGATAGTGTTGAACAAAGTCTATATAAATACCTCCCTACTTCTCCATCTCTTCCAGTCTCGGTATCACCACCCCACCATGGAGTCGATAGGTGGTTATGTGTTGCGGTCCTCAGTAGTGTTGTTTTTGTGTTGTTTTTTGTTAGTTTCTGCCGGTGAGTTTTTTCCCTGTTTTTTTTTTCTAAAGTGTATGAAAATGTAGGTAATCAAACTGATTATTTATCAAGTGAATAAAAAGTGGCGTCAAAAATAAAATGTATTACTTTGACATGCATAGACTAAAACATTTTGAATTTTTTCAATCAAAATGAACTACCCCCTCCTTTTTATTCTTCAGCCGCAAGAAATGCTGGTATTTTTACTGGACTTTTATACTCTAATATGTACAGCTATTTTTATCTTTACTTTTTTTTCTCTCTCTCTTTATCGGCTGTTTTCTTCAATTTTTTAGAAAATAATGAGGGCCTTAAACATTGGTGTTCAAATAAAAATAAAGGATCAGTGTTTCCTAAGAAATGAGGTTCACTCTCTAAAATTGATGCTTTTAAAACAGTCGCAAATTCTTCTGCTAACCACATTGACAGTTTTTAAAAGCTGTAAACCTTCGACTAAATTCAATGGGGTAAAAATTGTGTGTTTCCCATTACTTTCCAAAGAGGTGTAGATTCTAAAATTTTGAACCCCCTTGATATTTAGGTAGCATGTATACCGTCAAATTATGAATTCTGAAACTCATCATCCTATTTTGTGAATAATCTCACCTCTACATTTAAATATGTGTTTTGTTCCTACCCCCTCGTTAGGTACTTCCCAAATCTAAATGTGAATATTACATGAATGAACATATGATAAGAAGGAAGAAAAAAATTACAAGTTTATGTATTTTTAAAATTCACTCACGCATTTTTTTAAGAATTTTCTGATACTAGTGAAACTGAAGTCATTCCAACTTAGACAGAATTTTCACAGAAATGTTTTATTTGCAGAGCAACTCTGAGGTGTGTACTAATGGGTGCAAGATATTTCCCACCCCAAATGCAGGTATAACTTCTCACAACACTGAATGAACTAAAAACAACTAAGGAATGACCTGCCATTCATTCCTTGTTTAACGTTACACTTTAGTTTTTCCCCCATTTTCCAAAAAACTCTAATCACTAGCCAAGTTCTGGGACCCAGTCAAGGTTCTTAAGTGTAGTAGCTCACAATTTATTTCAAATTTTACTTCTTATGTAGAAAATAATTTTTAGGGAATACCTTTGTCACTTACCTACCTGGGATATCATGGGAGGTAGTGGTGAGGGGCCTGAATGTTTGAAGATGTTATCCATTCTGGAAAATTTAAGTCAAAATGGTTCTATTTTATTTAACTTGACTGCTACCACCTCTCCTTGAATATTTTTTCCTTCTCCCTTTCAAAACAAAATTTCTCAATGAATGCTTTAAAATTAATCAAAATTGACCAAAGTAGCCTCTTGAAAGGCGCCAGGGGGAAGAAGGCTAAAATCTGCCTGAATGAAAATCCTTGCGGAGGGAAAACAAACTTGAACCTAAGGAATTTAAACTGTCTTCTTAAAAATGGTGTACCAAGAGGAAATGTCTGAAGCTATAAATCAAAATCTTTTTTATTTTTTATTTTTGAAACACTCCTCAGGATAATATGCAATGTGATACTTTTCATATCTTCCATGACTAAAAAAGACAAAAAATAGAAAATGATCAGGCAAATTAAATATGTTGATACCATTCAATTAAAATGTCATTCTCTTATCAGAATGAGAAATCTGTAAAATGTACAAGTAGTACTTTAACAGTTAGTAGTGAGCCAAGCTTGCCGGCAGGGCGCCCTCTGCCTAGGCACAGGCATCTTCAGCCATTTATATACCATAGTCCCATAAATAAATAAATGGGTAATCATAACACAGCCAAACAGTGCGAACTGACCACCATCAGAAGGCCTTGTCCCTTCCCCACCCTGCCGCCTCCAAGGGACAAGACAGGGTATTGGAGTGGCATTGTAACCCTCAGCCTTTGATGGCCAATTTTTAAGGGTCCTCAAAAGCCCATCACCAGTGGGTATCAACCTCTGCTGGCAGTGAACTGCCTTAACCACTTCAGCACTGAGACTGGCAGAGACCCTTTAAAAATCTTCAAAAATACTAGCAAATGGGCAGCCACAAGTGAAATTCTTCAGGTTTTAGGCTTCCTTGAAGATCATTTTTTACACCTTTCAACCCCTCCCCCCTCCCTCCTTCTCGCTCTCTGTCCATTGAGATTCATGGTTTTAGTGTCGTAATTCCATTAGATAATGATAGTAATTTACCCTTGCAGCTGTGACTCATTTGTTAAATGTTGGTTTCATTTTTGCCTTTCCCTCTATTTTTCAATGTTCCTTTTCTTTAAGAAAAGTTTCATTTAGGTAGTTTCCTGTATTGATTGCTGAAGAGATGCAAGAATTAATTATAAAGTTAGGATATCAATGCAGTTAATCTATTTGATGTCCTGAGTTTAGGCTAACTCATTATTTACACTTAACTCCTTGTAAGCCATTTCAGGCAAAAAATGAACAATTTAGCCAAAATTTTTGTAGTTTCTTTAAGGGGTTTATTTTTTATTACCAGAGCGCCTTTGTATGATTTTTTGTGACAGTAGGTAAAATTTCTTCACGAAGCAAAAGATTCTCAGTTCAAGTTTTTCAAGGAATTTTGCTAATGGTGTCTGTTGCAGAGTAATTTTTTTTTCTTAATTCTGAATTATTGCAATACTTTGAGTTTATATGAGTATATTTATGAATAGTTTTCCCTGAGCACAATTGAAATTATATATAATTTGTAATCTCAATGCATAGTTAATAAATTAAGATTGATTCCCTTCTCCTCCCAAAATATTTTAGACATTTGTCCACTAGCCAACCAAAAAAAAAGATGTAGGAATAATTTTTTTTTTTTTTTCGTAAACGGTGTTTTCAAAGTCCTAGACAAAGTTCTGCATCCCTATTTTAAGTGTAAATTTTTGCTTTTAGGTATAGTGAGATTTTTCTCCATAAGAAGCAGCACCTTTTGAGGAAAGACAAGTGAAAAAAAAAAACAAAAATAAACCTTAAATGCTCTTTTAATTGTGTGCTTTTTCCATTTTGCTCTGTTGGCTAGATATCAGTGAGCTGTCATCTTAAATTCAATTTCCTTTTCGATGAAGAAACATGATTCATGAATCAAATAGAAATGTTATACTGGAAAATTTTTATTCAAAGAAGAGGGAACTGATTAAATTCTCTTATCTCAGTCATACTTTCTCTTCTCTTTTTGTTTTTGACCTCAAAAAAGTTTATTCCTTTTTTCAGCATGAATCGCTTTCTTCCATATCTAACAGCAAATGCTCGTAATTTGCCAGTAATTAGGTAGTTTTATTTCCTGAGTTGATTACAAGCTGAGGCATTTGAGTTCTAGAGTGAAGTTAGCATACCTATAGTTTCACTGCACTCGTTATCCACTATCTGCTGTCTTATTTGCCCTTGACTTTGTGTTTGTGTTAAGCATGAGCCAAAGGTTCATCTTAGAGCTATTATCTGTGAGACCAAATAGCAAAGGTCAATCCCTCTTAGTTGATAGCAGAACATAATATCAAATAACTACTTCCTAAGTTTAAAAACTCCAGTTAAAAAGCATGCACTTATGAAGAGGTAATCGAACTTCTTGTCAGTTTTTTCTATCTTATTTTCCTTACCGTCTTCAGAAATTGCTGCAATTATGAAGCTTTATACAGCATTCATTTTTCTCATTTCTTTTGACATCCTCCAACAGAGTCTCTACTTTCATTTCCAATAAAATCCGCACTCTCCAACTTCTCATTCTATGTCCCTCCCTCTCTCTCACTTTTTCATAGCTAAAGAGTCAGACAGGAAAAATTCACCCAATTAGTTGCATTTACCCGGAAAAGTCAAAGTAATCAGCTTGTTATCTTTAACCTTTGCTCCATGCATGTGTCAGTCTCCGTACCTGTGTAGGTATTTCTTTCTAAAGAAATCATGAGGCCTAATTCATCATCGTACCTTGAACAGTTACTTTTTTCATAGAGGCCTACATGGTTTGAATTTTAATTAAGGGAGGTTCAAGGAGGACTTTGAATGACCTGAAATCAGAAAAGTGACAAACTTTGAGTGAAATGTAACTTTATTTTCACTTATTAAATATTAGCAGTGTTTTACAATAATTAGCAGCCAGGTCAAACAAAAACTACAGAATAAAAAATTCTCTAATTTCGACGAATTTTAACATGGATGTACCATTTTTGTTTAAATTGTTCATATTTTAACTTGGTACTCTTTTTTAAAAAAAATTATCAGAAACAAATCTTTGCTATACCTATTCACAAAATAATTTAGTTGAATCGTATTCAAAGTTCCCAACAATTTTCCCTCTTCTGAATATGTGACTTGAATGAATGGAATAGAAAAAATAGAATTTAGGAATGAATAAAGTGACCAAAAACTGAGCACTGAAATTGTCCCAGGTATCTTGTGAAACATTCGTGAAGGGAAGAGTGTTTGAAGTTAAGAACATTGTTTTTTGGTATATTTTAGTCAAACTAAAAATTCTTGTCTAGGGCGCTAAAGTCTCTTGTTTCTTTTGACTTATCATTCTTTTAATATTTAATAAAAGTCCAGTCACATGTTGTCAATTTGTATGTATAATGTTTGTAAGAGTCCATTGAGCAGAAGCAAAATTTTAAAGTTCTTCATCTGAAAAGTATACGTTTTAATCTATCCAAATCAGAAGTCTCGACTCTCTTGGGCAGTGAACAATCCTCCAAGGGATTATTATTTTGGTCTGCTTGCTTCAAGCAGGTATCTGATCTTGGCTTTTGTTGAGTCAAGCACCTATCCAATATTACCTGACAACTTGCCATTATTTGCCAAACTGGAGAATCTAAGTCCTTCCTATTTTTACCTCTTTTTTCTCTTACATATTTAATTTTTTTTGGCTCCTCGTATTTTCATTTAACTAATAATAATAGCTTTATTAACCAGCATCACAAAATGTTGGAATACGGCTGATTTGAGTGAAAAATTGAGCACTTTATAACATGTTTTTTTTCTTTTAATCAGTAGCACTAATTACACAAAATAGTACCAAAATTTCAGAATGTTCAACAAGACTTTGGCTTTAGAGGATAATGACAAGGACTCGTTTCGATTCAACTTAATTCCATCAAAGTGCAGCTCTTGCAAAGGATTGACTTTTCTTTTGTTACAACAAATCATTGAGTTGTTACCTCTCAAACAGTTGAAATTACGATGTTTCTAAGGTTTTTCTTTTTTCTTTGTTTGTTTCAGATTCTAAATGCTCTTTAGGATGTCAAGGATGTAAGTAATTGTTAAACTGAGCTAATTAGCTAAGTTATTTTGTTTTCTTATTTCTTCATTTTTATTTTTGGTCCTTCTGATTAGTGTTAAGTCAACTTCCATGTTATTTTTTATCCAAAAAATAATATTTAAACTAGAGTTTATCAGTATCTGAGTGGGTACTGTAAAAAATGTTTCACCCCAGTAGGATTTTTTACCTAAAAAGAAGTGAATACAGTTACGAAATGATGTGAAATTCACTTATTAGGCGACAATTGGACGTATTTCTGTCAAACGAAACTATGTGTATCAAGACATGAGCCCCGAGACCCATAAGAAGATATGCATAACAGGGCCCACGTCATAATGCACGTAGTTCTGTTTGACAGAAATACGTCCAATTAGGATACTTTGATGTAAAAATAACGTACATTTTTACAAATTGAAAAGTTTTTCAATGTGTGAAATACTCACATGAAAGTGTCCTCAAGGGTGTCAACCGATGGCTAAAATTTACACATCTTTTAACAGGCATTGTTTTTAGGCAATCACATGATGTGATTGTTGTGCTCCAACTTATATTATCTGTTGCATTACTCTTAGCGTTTTTTATTACAGCCACAGCTCCAATCCTGAAGTTTGGAAACGGTGAAGTTTACAAATATCAATTTGAAGGCAGCACGACTACTCATCTATCTGGAGCCAAAGGGAATCCTGTCAAACTTGGAGTTTCTGCTACTGCAGAGATCAGTGCCTTGCCTCAATGCACTTACTCCTTGAAATTGACCAAAGTTGTCGTGGCAAATGCTGATGATAAAGTAAGAAAATTCATTTTTCTACCGAATGATCTGTAAGAAAAACTAGATTGTCTGCTGCCTATCGTGCATTACTATTAGCACACACTTACCCTGTTTGATATTTTTGTAGGAAACTGTGTTAAAGACCAATTTACAAAATCTTACTTGGCCAACCCACAGAATGGTGTAAAAAAATCTGCAATAACAAAAGAGCATCAGAAAATTTGATACATAAGATCAGAATTTTGACTCAAGTCAAATGATCGGCTGTAGGAAAGGTCAAAGAGTTTGTATCTTTGTTTGAGGAAAGTTTGAAAACTCAGAGAGTATTTTATTGCAATTTCCTGTTCAAATAGAATGTGTGAAGAAAAATACAATTCTGAGACAACCAGAGTTAGGCAAATACTCAATTCTCCTCAAGTAAGCTGTAAAGTACTCAGTTCCTAAGTTGCATGTCTCACTTTTAAAATCCTTAATTTTTATTAGATTGTATACATTTCTTTCGTATTAATCAATATTTTTGAAATTTTATATTTTTTTATGACCAAAACATTTTTCTTTCATGTTCTAGAAGTATGACAACTTGAAAGAATTGGAAGCACACCCGATCCAGTTCAGCTATCAAGGCGGACAAGTTGGCACTAAAGTATGTGTTGAAGAAGGGGACAGTCATGTTTCCATCAACATAAAGCGTGCAATCATCTCTTTGTTTCAAGTTGGCACTTTCAAGGAGTCTGGCCAGACCGTTGACCATGAGGTAACCTAAAAACAATGATGTATGAAAAAATTTCTCATGGAAACTCAATTTCATCCCCTTATATGAAAGTGTCACCAATTTACTTCTACAGTCGTTTTATAACATTGCCTGCCAAGCTGGTCATGGCAACTAGTTTTCTGTTCATTGTCCTGGGCCAAAATGGTCACAGTGATTTTTTGTGGCGTATTTTCATCACCATACTAAGAACATAGTAAAAATGCTATCTGCAAAATCATGTCATGCAGAAACCTACCATAGAACTAATGCTATAATATTATGAACCCAACAGAAAGGTATTACTGGTGTTGCAACTGCTTCTTGTGACAGTAATTACAGCTGTTATATTCTGCTGTTTCTTTGCATGATTTCTTGATTTGATTAGAACACGTACACAAACAAACACCAGTGAGTAATGTGTAAAACAGCATGGAGCTTAAGTAAAATAAAATGAAATGAGTGTGTTTACATTAAAGTGATCACTCTAATACTTTCCACATTCAGAGATAGAGTGTTCATCAAACCCAACCAAGGCGCATTTTCGCCATTTTAAGATATTAATGGAGAAACATAATTTCTTTTTTTTAGACTGATGTATTTGGTATCTGTCCTACCATTTTCAACTACAAAACTGAAGGCGCCAAAGTTACTGTGTCAAAAACACGTAATTTGAACAGTTGTGGTCATCGTGAAACATTGGACCTTGCTTTCCTGTCGACACCATATTACAGTAAATCGGTGAGTCATCGAATTATTTACATTACTTCCTGACCTTGCCTTTTGTAATCACATCTTTAATCAGAGTAATTTTCCTCATTGAATTATTATTCTGAACTTTAAGGAAACTACATTCTCACAAACTGTGTCATCCCAAATAAAGGCTTTGTTCCTCCTCAAATTTAGGAACAAAAATTTAGAAATTCACCGTATGAAAATTTTAGGACTGACTTTGAGGTGCTATTTTGGATGACTGTTAATTTTTCTACGTTGTATTTTCTTTTGCAGGACTTCCAGTCAACACCTTTGCTGGCAGCTGCATATAAATCAGAGCAAAATATTGATAATGGTGTTTTGAAATCGGCATCATCCAAGGAAACTTACAACTATAGACCTCTTGCCTCCGCTGAATCTGGTGCAGAGATCACAGTTGAAACCAAACTCAGCTTTGTATCGAAGGCAGCAGGAGCTGCTCCTGCATGTAAGCACCCCACATTTTTCTACAAATTCTATCCATCTTATTAGTCGTCTTTCTCGGAGGGCGAAGTATAAAAAACTGCAAGAACGGACTGAACCTATCAGTTACCCACCTTAAAATGACCATCCGTCAGTATTATGGATTTCTTCATGCAGAGTCCTCCCTCCTTTCACCCTCTGAAAAGTAACTATATAGATTTTTTTACTTGTCTCACATCCTCCATTAGCTTATTGTGTACTTTTAGTGGAAGACAAGTTTTTTGCATGGTTTTTCATATATTTCAAGTGAAATTCAATTCTCTATTAAAAATCCAGGGTAATGGTCTAATGGTGAAACTTGAAATGATATTGGTTCGAAAATTAGATATCAATGTGCAGGTACCAAAAGAGCAGCTAAAATACGTTTTCATGTTCATGATTCATCCTATTCTTGCCTGAGTGATTATTCTACAGTTAATTACATAAGTATTCTATCATTTCGTGATATTAAGCGTTTGCCTGTAAACATGGTGAAACTCAAATTTCCCACTACATAGTTGATCTTCCAGCAAAAGTAACTTCAGTTTCTCAAGTATGAAATAGGTTTCAAATTTTTGTTTAACTTGAAGAAGTGGACATTCACCTATTAATTGTTTTTTTTTTTTTTTTTTTTTTTTTTTTTTTTTTTTTTTTTTTTGACAGTGAAATCTGCAAAAACTGGATCCATCATTTTCCAAGCTCCTCTCCCTGCGGATGGAATCTCAAACTCAGATGCTATCATCAAGGCCTTGAAAGAAGTCGCAACATCCGTCGAACCAGCCGTCAGCTTCACCGCTGCTCGTAGCTTTGGTTCTCTAGTCAATGTATTGAGGCATGCCAAGAAAGCAGATATTCTATCAACCTTTAATCAAGTGAAAAGTGGAGCTGGCTTCCAGAATAAAGAGATTGTGAAGTAAGTTCTCCAATATAAATTATTCAAATTTTAACTTAATCAAATTGTGCTCTGCCTGAGAGCTGTGGTCTCATAAATTGTTCTATCTTTCAAGTCGCTAATACCAACTATGCAGGACAATAGTGTGTATTTCTAGGCATCCACTAAGTTGTGCTTTATTATTTGGATACTTAAAATGGCACTGAACGAAAAGTATTCGAAATAGCTATGGCTGTTCGAGTTTTGGGAAAGCCAAAAACAAATTTTAGTATTTGGGAGAGCAGTTTGAGAATAAAGACACTGGAATTCTGTTGAGAGAACACAATACACTTCATTCACAGTACTGGATCACAAGAGGTGGAAACTTAGCACTTGGTGAAATGTGACTTGTGTGAGCTTAAAGAATGACATATAGTCGCAGCGGATGGGCGATACGAAGTAAGTCTTATTTGCGAACATACCAGGCCATGTAGGGCTAGAAAAGCAACTCTTTGGCTGTATTACATCAACCATCTGGTGCACAGATAAAAAAGATATTAAACAAATAAGATGGTGCGTCTGATTGTATACAAGCATCAGCGTAAGGCCTTAAATGTTTGTCATGAAGAACTTGAAAGAGAGATAGAAGAAATTAGAGAGAAAAGGATAGATAAAAAATCTGTCTTGGGGCAAATTGAGAAGAAAACGTTTTCCTTCTATTTGGACGCATTGAACCAGAAAAAAATTATCTCTTTGCAATGAATTTTCTTCAATTTTATCCAGTCTTCAGTCAGATTTATTTTACATTAAAGCATCCTCTTAAATTCATCATATCAGCGCCTCCCCCCCCCCCTTTATTTTTCTTTATCACTGATGATTCTCTCTAAATTTTTTCAGGCAGATATTTTTGGATGCACTATTTCGTGCAGGTAGCTCAGAAGCAGTTGAAGCTGGTGCTGAGTTACTGAAGAGTAAAGAAATCAGCGAAGCAAATGCTAAACTTTGGTACTTGAGCTTTTCTTTCACAAAACATGCCTCTCCAGCAGCCCTCAAATCAGTTGCAGTAAGTGATTCATAGTTTCTGAGTGCAGACAATAGGGTCTAAATATTACGAGTGTTTCTGCTCCAACTTTTTGATTACTCCTTCAAAAACTGTAAAATTCCAACATGGCAGTTGATTTAAGGAGTTCTCACCTAGCAAAAAGTGGCTCTGAAACATTGTCACAATATGCTGCCAAAACTTGCAATGCAATAATTTTGTAAAGTTATTTCTGGCAGTTGATGGGTGGGTAGAATGAAACTCCATTATTATTATACTGTCACTGTTCATTAACGTCTATGTGTTAGCCTAAAAAAACCAGACATGATCATTGGTGTGGGTTATTTTTTAAAAATTATTAATAGCACTTAAAGAATCTCTCTTTGATAGTTTATTCATTTATGAACAAGAAACGCTGAGATCCCCTCAAATGCCAAGATGCCAAGGCAAATATTAAAGAAGATGTTGTCCTCTGGGGGCATGATAAGCACTTGATGGTTTCTTATCTTATCAATGCAAGCACTTTGGATAAAAGTTGTGGATGCCTTTTTGACAGGCAAAATGTCACCTAAGAGGTTTTTAAGATTTATCTCAAATGAATTGGTAATTGTTTACATACTGTTCGCAAGCAGCTGCTCCGCTGCTGTCCAATATTGACCAAGGGCAATGACACAGTTGTCAGCAGGCACAGTATCTATCAGAAATTAGTTGATAGCAAATGACGGTCAAAGTAAACAATTCCCAATTTATTTGACATGGGTGGAAGTAATTTATGTATGAAACGCAACACTTTCTGTAAGTCTACAATCTCCTACCATCAAAATACAATTCTGTAATTAGCGCAATAGTCTAATCAAAAACAGATAATACTAAACTTGTGCTGTATTGCATCTTAGTAACAGAACATTTTTGAAATAAAGAAGAACAGATGTCATATAGCATCCTGATTTATGCTAAATACCTCAGCAATCTACAAATTTTTCCCCCTTTTTTGACCACCGGGCCGGCACATACCTAAGGATCTGTTTTGTTTTCTCAGTTCTTGCATTTGATAGCATACCTTATTCCTCTTTACAGTCAATCTTGGACAACAAGGACATTCCACGCCAAGCCTATCTTGGCATTGGTGCTTTGGCCAACCGCCATGTCCGAGAATACGGTGTGGAAAAACCAACAGAACTTGATGCTCTCCTTGCAAAGCTTGCAGCCCCCTTGAAGTCTGCTGAAAAGGCCAACACCATTGAAGCAGAAAACCACGTAAGTCACAAAGTGCTAAGCTTTATTTTTTAAGTTTACGATTACTTCGACTTACCACAAATATAATTCATGCATGCTTTATTTTCATCTACTTTTTCTTGTGAATGGAGTCCTTTGTTCTAGCAAAGGTGGTATTTTACTCTCATTTTTTTCACTTTTCTGGCACTGTTGCTTCCCAAATCTTTCTTTATGTCTATACTTCTCAGCTTTCTCATCACCAAAATTATTTTGAATCACCAAGTTGCACTTCTTTATCGGTGATAAGTAAAGATTGTTGCTTTATTTGAAAAAGTTACCAAAATGTAGTGCTCCAGAAGTAGATAACAAGTGTATGGAAGTGTAAATTTTTAATGGAAAGAAAAACTTTCATCTTAAGGACATTTTTCATGCATTCATCATGAAAATGCAATGATTTTAATCTTAAAAACGTTTCTCAACTTACTTTCAGGTCATTGCCAGTTTGAAAGGTCTTCAAAATGTTCAGTACTTGTCTCAAGAAGTTGCTACTTCTGTTGCCAAAATTGCTGCTGATCCCAAAGTTCGCAGCAGAATTCGAAGCGTTGCCATTGAGACACTCAAAAGTGATCCCTGTCAGAAAACGGTAAGTTCACGAATCATTATTTTAAAAAAAGTTAGTGTATGCACAAAAATACATACCTTTTAGCACTCAAGGTTTGAAATTCTCAAAGGTAGAAGTAATTGGTAGGAATGTCTTACAGTAAGACCTCGAGTTATCGGATTTCACGGGATTGGAGGCCGAATCCGTTAAGTGCAGAATCCACTAAATCGCGCTAGTTGGTCCTGCTGAAAGGACCGAAGGATCGATCCGTTAAATCGCAGAATCTGTTAAATCACGATCCGATAATTCAAGGTCTTACTGTAGTTGTTAGTCTACAACACATAAAATGGCGGCTGAGGGGCGGATCTATGTGAGCATGATCTATTGTTTGAGGTTTGATTAGCTGCGGTAGTCTCAGGTTTCTTGAGTGTAGCTAGATATCTGCATTTCAGTCTTTAAGACCCCAAGCAGTCACTAGCTCCACCTCTCTCACCGTTGCTTTTCGTGTCATGGACTATAATCAAACTTTTTAATAATTACATCTTACCAACCTTTTCGCTGTAAACACCACCCAGTGCATATAAGAGTGGCTCATCTTGCAGCCATATTATCAGGTTCAGGCCTATAGTTTATTTTCATTGGCAATGTTTCTTCATTCATCATTTTTCAATTGAAGATCCAAAAGACTTCTTGGTATTAGATTACATCATAATTGATGAAACGTCATTCAAAATGATAGCTCTGAATGGGAGTTCTGTGTGAAAGCTAGTAAATCACATATGCTCTCTTTCTCTCTTTTTACCAATTTGCCTGCGAAGGCATCGTTTGCTCGTTCTCTCCGCTAATAGAATTTTCCTTTTTTGTTAAGGCCAAAGAAACTGTAACAAACATCTTGAAGAACATTAACGAAGATTCTGAATTGCGCATCAAGGCTTATCTGGCTTTGATTCAGTGTCCATGCAGTCAATCAGCCGCAGCTCTTAAAGAAATTATCGATAAAGAAGAAATCAAGCAAGGTGAGTCCTCTGTTTTTTAATCTCTTTCTCATAACATGCAGTCATATTTGGCAAAAGTTGATCGATCTGTGAATACTTTATCTTGTGTTCTTTCTCTCATTTTACCTTTTTATTTTTTTATTTTTTGTTTGCACAGATACAATTTCTGTGCACTCAATTTTTTTTTTTTTTTTATAGTTAGTGCGCAATGTCCCTTTTTTATCCTGTATTGTAATGACCCTCGAAAGCCGAGAATACAGGATGTTTAAACTACATTTTGCAATAAGGAACTATTATTTTTGATTCACTGTAGAAGCAACATGTAAGCCACTAGTTTTTTATTCAGCTAGCTAGGTAAGCCAGAAATTTGCAAACTGTAGGCTATTTAAGATTGGGCGTCTTGTTCGGAGCATGGAGGAAAATACTCAATTTTTTAGCATTTTTTCTTTAGACAAAATTTAAACAGTTTTAAATTTATCAGTATTTACTCAAATTCTTAACTTCCTCTCCAAAACTCTCTTCTCAACAACATTTTTTTTGGGGAGTTTCTATTTTCTCGGTTAATTTTTCTAATTATTTAGTTGGAGGATTAGAAATACATAATTTTATGTATCCTCAGTCTATCATTTTGTATGTAGTTAATCTATGAAAAGGACACAAGTTTTAATCATGATTATTCTGTATTGATTTAAAAAAAATTTCGTCACTCGGAAGAACATCAACTAATTCATCTCTCTTCTCTCTATCCCTGTTTTTTTCTCCCTGGCTGTTTTCTCGCCTTTCATCACTCTTAAAATAATTTTCATGTTGTCATTTTTTTTCAGTTGGTTCATTCATCGTTTCTCACCTTCGTCACTTGCGAGCCTCTGTGAATCCAGACAAATTTGAGCAGAAAAACAGATATGGTGGTATTGTTCCCGCAAGGAAATTCCCCATCAATCCTGCTAAGTACTCACACTCTGTTGAACTTTCGTACTTACTGGATTCATTGAATGTTGGCATTGCTGGAGACGCCAATGTGATTTACTCTCAACATTCTTTCATTCCTCGTTCCTACAGCTTGAATCTCACAACTCATGTTTTCGGCCAAGCGTTCAACTTATTTGATGTAAGTACATGTGATAGTCTTAATTTTATTCAGAAAAAATTCTGTAAATCAAAAGTCCTGAAAGTCAATCTTACATAACTGTGCACCCACCAATTTGTGTATCATGTGTTTAAGAAGGAGGGAAAGTGTTTGATTCACACAAAATAGGAAGATTTTCCTCATGCGAAAAAGCGCTATCCACCTACAGCCAGATGGAAAGAATCCATTATCTGGATCCAGTTCCCGTGCTGCAGGAAATCCATTCAGGCCTAATTCCTCCATACAGCTCTCTAAAAGGAAGCACTTAAGTCCTCACATTATTTTGCCAATTAGGATCAAGAATTTAAGAAGTTATGAAAATTGAATCTGTGTTTTGGAATCTTTTATATAACTTCCAATGTTTTGTTTATTTACAAATTTTGGTTTCCCCTTGCAGCTTGATATTCGTAATGAAAATCTGGACTTCTTATTGGAGAAGTACTTCGGACCTAGAGGCCATTTCAAGCGCAAGGACATGGGCGCTCTATTTGAAGATGGGTACTCTAAAGCCTCTGGAATCATCGATCAGATCAAAGAGCGTTATCAGAAAACTATTCGTCCAAAGCGAGCTGTAGCACAAGCAGATTTGGATGCACTCGCCAAGAAGGTAAGCTCATCATATTTCCATTGCTAATTTTCATGATCTGTGTTCTCAGTAATGCACCGTTAATGACAAATTGCCGGAATATGTCTTGTGGAGACGGAAGCTTAGAGTTTACCATAATGACATTTTCGTCTTTCAAGTACTATGTTTGAATATGAATCCTCCATTCAACTGCCCATAAAATAGTACTTCACATAGTGATTACATGAAAGTTTACATATCCATTTACTTTTGTTCCTTAGTGCTTATCATGTTTGAATTTTTTAGGTCGATCTTGGGGTGGATGCTGGTTATAATGGATTAGATTTGGATGTAGCTCTGAAGGTATTCGGAACAGAAATCACATGGTTGGATTATCACAGTGACAAAAGTGCTATTTCATCTGGAAAATTGATTGATGAATTTTTCGACGGAGTTGATGCTTCCATTGACAAAGCAAAGAATTTCGAGGTAATTATTTTATTCAATCCAGTTTTTTGAAGAATTTTCTATTTATTAACTCAACAATACTAACAATATTTCAAATTTGGATGACAGTTTATTTTCCTCGATTGCTTTCAGAGTCTATTTTTGAGTTTTCCGGCCTAGACAACTTGAAATAATAACGCATTTAATCTGATTCAAGAATTGAGAGGCTTTCTTGTACGATGGCAAAATTTAATTTGCTGGAACAAATTGATTGACCATAGTTAAAATTCAATGCCTTATCCTAAATAAAATATATTGGTCTCTAAAATTTTGTGGAAAATCAATTTCCATTAGTATTTTTAATTTGACTCTAAGCTGCCGCTAATGCTTTAATGCAGAATATCTGTTTATCAGAAAAAATCTCTCACCAGGATTTTCAGTAGTTAATTTTTTTTTTTTTTTTTGTATAAGATGAGAATTAAAATATAGAAAAAAAATGAGTAAGATGTTTTGGTATTTGGTCGTGTATGTGGAAGAATTTCAAAGAGCTCATCAAAAGCAGCATCTTTAATGATATTTTCGATTTTTCTGCTCTGCAGTACGACTACAAGAAACATTTCACATTTTTGGACAATGAACTGAGCTACCCCACCGGTCTTGGGTTTCCCCTGAAAGTAAAAGCCTTGGGAAGCAGTGCCATTAGTGTGAAATTTGATGGAAAACTTGATATCCCAGCTTTGATCAAGGATCCTCAAAACGCCAACATTCGATTCCAGTTAATTCCAAGGTATGTGTAATTTAATGTGGTTGATTGAACATGAATTGGAAAATGTTTTTTATCAAGATAAATTTCAAAATTGTATGTGTCTAAAAATAGAGGAAACACCAACGTATTCATAAGGATTGCATATTTGTCCATATGCAAATGAATGAATGTATTTTTATTTTATTATATGGTGTATAAATTTCCAACTATTAATAAGTTCTTAAATTCAACTGCGTTATCAACTGCATTAAATTTTCTCATTTCTTTTACTGTGTGTTTTTAGTGGTGCTGTTGAAGTCTCTGCATTGCTCACTGTTGATGCATACGCAGTTGAAAGTGGAATTAAACTTGCAACCACTGTTCACTCAGCAACTGGAGTTGATGTAACAGCAAAGATTTTGGAAGGATACGGAATTGATGTTAAGCTTGGACTCCCCGTCAAAATTCAAGATGTTGTCAACATCAAGTCGGAGGTTTTCTCAACCAGTGCTGTCCGAGGCCAACCTGAAGTCGACGTTCCTGTTAAGTTTGATGTCAAAAGGTAGTTTAAATTTTTCAGCCCAATTATTGGAAGCTAGTCATTTTAGCCCCAATTTCCTATTCCACTGCAAATTCCATCATGAAGAGCCCTTTTTCCCCAAAAATTTAGGACCGACTCCCTATAGTGACACTCTTATCAACTTTCCCTCGTCCCTTTAACTCTAGTTATTCTGTCCTCATGATACTATTGTTTAAAAAATAGAGAATGGTTTTTTTTTTAGCAAGTGACTATTTATTTAGTTGACCTTTTTACAGTTGCTTAAAATTCTTTGTAAAACTCTTTTCGATGATACCGTTTTCACTCCTCGCTAAACTCATTTCTAGTTTGCAAAAACCTGAAGTAAGGTAAATTAGGTGGTCCTGTTGTATTGGCACTGATCACGAATTCCACTTGAAATAGAAAAATGTGCACCAATAAAGAAAAACTTCTGTTGCAGGCAAGAATTTGGAGGTTGTTTTGATCAGTTGTCGCCAATCGTGGGCCTGACCTTCTGTGGAATTGTCCAGTTCCCTTGGGACGGATACAAAGTGCTGAACCCCATTTTTGGTCCAACAAAAGTTAACCTCAGAATTGAAAAAGAAGATGATACGCTGACCAGTTACAACTTTAGAGCTTATTACAACACCAAAAGTAAGTTTTAAAGTATGCTATGTAAGTAGTGATTGTTGTTTTTTGTAATCTTTAATTATAGATTTTCAGCTCAAACCGCGAGAAAATGGCTCTGTAGAGATTTAATCAACTTTGCAAAGAATATGGTATTTTTATATAGTCTCAAAATTATTAGGTAATGGACCATTACCTAATAATTACAATAATACAAAATACTAATAATACAACCATTACTAATGGTTGTAAGCGATGAAATTTTTTTTGCCTGTAACCTCTTTTTAGAAGTAGATTGTTTCTGACATGCGTACATGGTCTTTTTTTGTATTTTCAGTTTTTTGGTGAAAAAGCATGATTCTCTCAAAAATCGTAAAATAAGTGAAATTAAGGGTGCCAAACAACTGTGGTCTGATTCTGTCTTGATCCCAAAGGAATTAATTTGAAATACTTGAAACAATAGCCAGACCTTGAACACCATGCTACATTGTTTTTCGCGGGTGCATTTTTTTCCTTTGTTACATCAGCTTTCACTCATTATGAATAGTCCCTCAATTCGACTCATCTCTCACCAGTGCCTTTTTATCTTTCTCCTTCCAGAACCAAATGCTAGATCTTTCGAAATCATTTTGGATACTCCTAACTCTCAGACTAACCGCAAATTGGCTTTGCTGATTGATGGCGCCACAGAACCCAAGAAGTCACTATCCGTTAGCTTAGATACACCATTTAAGAAAGTCTCATTCTCAGGTGAGCTTTCTAAAATATTTGGATCATTATCTCCTTGCTTTTTTTTTTGTACAAAGTGGGGAAAGGATCTTTGAAAACACTTATTAATTACAAGTAATTCATTTTAAGTATGAATTTGAAGTAATGTCTCTTCAGTTTAACCAGAATTTTGTTTTTCTCTGTATTGAAAGGTTGCTCATTTTTATAAGGAAATAGGTACAAAAAAATTTAAAAAATCGTTTGTGACATTAATGCTCACAGTTACAGAATTTCCTGGGTTATTTTGAACAATTTACTCGTATTGTTCAAATACGCCAAAGTAACAATCTGTGAGCTTAAAAATGCTTTTAAACTGTAGGATTTTCTTTTAATATCTGAAAATTGAAGCGTATCTATCGTAGAACCTCAAAATGCTCTCTCTTAAAGTCAGGAGAACCATCTTAAGTCATATTTTTTGGAGGTGCTAACTTATTTAGTACAGATTGTGAAAAAAAGTTTGAATTCCTAAGTATCACATGATTAAACAATTAAACTACATTTATTAATGGAATGAATGACTATTTACGTAATATTTTCCAACTTCTCTCCTCTAGGGTTTGTCACTGACACAGAAAAAGAAACCTCGCTGACTGCCAAGTTCCTGAATGATGATGCAGAATACTTTTTAAGAGTTGGTGCAGACATCTCTGGAAGTCCAAATTCTCGACGTTACGAACCAATCTTGGAGTATCGTGCCCCTGAAGGAAAAGAAAGATTGCTTGGACGCAACAAAGGAGCTTCTAAGGATAAGAAGCAACAATTGTCAGTAGAAGGTATATGTCCACTCCATTACATCAGATTTTTAGGAAGAGCTAGAGCCGAAATGATTAAAAAAAATAAATAAATAAATAAATAAATGAAGAAAAATTAGGCAAACTTTCTATCAGAATGTGCAAAAGTTTAATTTTTAGCATTTGAAATCACATTCAATCACAGGGTCTGTTTTATATAAGAATTTATTTCAGTTAAAATTCTTTGGTTAATTATGCTTGATAATTTTGATGTTCGGAAAACTACTTTCATCAACATTCTGTGCTTGTCCTTTCAAATGAAGTTTTAATTATTAATTATTAACTTTTAGGAGCTGTAATTGTTGACAAAAAGGACAATTCACCTTACCGCAAGTACACATTCAGCCAATTAGCCATCATCACCCAACGTGGGAAGTACGTCACTGATGGTACCATTGTGTACGACACTGGCCTTTTGGAGACGGATCTCAAAGTCACTAATGAAAAGATAGTCTATGTCATCAAAAATAAAGCCCAAAAACTTTCAAACAACCACTACAAAGCAGATGCTCAACTGTCATGCTCACAATATCCTGATTTTGCTCTTGCCGTAAACTGGGAGTACAAACGCACTGATAATCACGTAAGTGTTACTTTCATGTCTGAATCAATTCTCCCCTCCTCCGCGTTAAAAATGCATCTCTGAATCATCATTGCTACATTTGTCCCCTTTTAGTGAAATACAATCGATGATTTTCTCCTCTCTGTGTTATGCTCCTCCCTCTAGTAGATTTTGCACTTTGCAAAGAGGAATTGACAAAAGCGCCATTAATGTTTGAAGATTGCACCTCTGCCCAGTTGGAGGACTGGAAAAAGTATTCATTTCTTTATTTGCAGCTTAGAAATAATTGGGGCTATAAGAATCATTTAGCACTTTGATATTCTTTTTACAGCCCTTCTAACTAAAATCTGTTCTGGAAAATATATCTGTTTTGGCAACTGATAGTGTTATTGGAACCATTTTTGCAAACTCTCGCAACCTCTTTTCGAATCAGCTCTGGTTCCCTATAAGCAATGCCTGCAGGTCAGCCTATGAAAATTTGGCTAACACGTAATACCACACCTAGTTACTGGTGGTAAGCAGAGCCAAGTGAATAGAACCATCTATTGTTGAAGGAGAGTAACGCTGATACTTACTTTTGCGGTCTACTGAGCAACGCACCTAGGCTCATTAAAGATATAATACCTACAACCCTTAGAACGCAACCTGAGCCGTTCACTTTTGGTGGACTTCCTCCTGTCTTTTCATGGCATGAATATTATCAAGGGAATCACTCTGTGTTTATCAAACCTATTTTTAAGTTGCTCATTATTTCTGAATACGATTATGTCAAGCAGGAACTATTTAATGTACTCTTGTTCTTTTTGATCATGATTTTAGGTTGACCACACTCTGATAATTGTTCACGGGGCCGATCCAAAGAGTACTTCCACCAGATTGTCCTTGATTCAGTCCTTTGATTACAAAACCGGAAAAGATTTTGAATTTGGAACAAAGAATAAGTGTAAGTATGAGTTTATATCTATGAGTCTTTATTTTCAATTACCACATACTTAGCAAGTCAGCAGAGCTATACTCTTATGGATGCAAGTTCTAATTCTCCATCAGTAAGAAAGAATGGAAAAAATCAATGACTCTCTGGTACAACTTTTAGCAACACTTTTGGACGTCAGAGGTTTTTGCACAGGTTAATCTAATCAGCATCTTCGTTTTTTTCTTGTTTCAGTAACTTATCCAGTTCTTGGAATCGAGGGCAAGGTTGATGTGCAAGCCACCCCAAAGAGTGTGAACTACGAAATTGAAGGTGCTTATGAGAATCAAAAGGTTTCCAGCAAATTGAATTCCAAAGTCAACACTAAAGAGCCTGGAGACTTCACCATTTATTTTGATGTAGGTATTTAGTGTTAAGTTCTCAACATGATTTTCTTAGTCTCCTTTCATCGAATGAAGTGATTAATTCAACAGCTAGAAATTGGTTCAATAAAAATGCCTGTCATAGTCCAAGTGATGAATGATTCTGTGCAACTAAAACATAGTATTCGTTTATCTGCAATCCACATTATGGTGCTCTTCCGTCTAGTACGAAACTACTTGTAAAAGATGCAGGATGAATTATTTTTTGAAGATTTTGGACAATATACAGGACTGTAATATCATAGAAATGCAATATTTTCTTTTTTTGCAATTGATAAATTTTAAATTTTGTCCAGTACCCTGTACCGTAGGACGTTGTTTATTCTGATCACATTGGAAAGTTAAGTTTGATTGGGTGGCGTTTGATTCTATTCCTGAATATAATAAGCTATCCATAACTTGAGCCAATTTAATTTTGTTTTTGTTTTTGTTTTTTGATAATGCTTAAAACTATTAGACTTTCAGAAAAAAGTTATATTTTCTATCAAAATTTTTTTTTTAAATTTTATTTTCTGCTTCACAGGCAAAGGCTCTAGCCAACAGCATAGTCATTGAGAGTAAGAGAGAAGTCGTTGAGAACCGTGGCAAATCCTTAATTTCTAACTCGGTAACATTGACTCCTGGTGGAAAGTATGCATTGAATGGTGCTGTAATTCATAAATTTGCGAAAGACGATTTCCAACAGGGTGTGGATATTGAAATAACCATGCCTCAAGATCCCAAAAGCGTCAAGTAAGTTACGATTCAATTGTTTTTTTTTTTTTTTTTTTTTTTTTTTTGTTTTGAAAATTGGTCTCGAAGCAATTTTCAATAATGTCAAAGCTTAAAACTTAGAAGTTACTTGGTTGTATTTTTTAATTTATTTCACATATCTCAAGCACTCAGTCATCCCCAGGGGAAGGAGCCACAGCTCTAAGATGTAAGTGTTTCAGGGGAGTGAATTTAGTCAGTTTTGGTTGAAAAACAAGACTTAAAGTTACTGTCAGAAAACAACCATTTTTTGAGTTGCAAGTATCATACTATCAGAACTCTGTTCTCGGCGTTTTTTGTACCAAAATGTTTGTAAAGGAAAGATAGGCACTTGCGACGTTTAAACTGAAAATTGTTGAGGGTTAGATTTAATGTTTTGAAAACACTAATTTTAATATAAATTTTCTTTGCAATTTGCCTAACAGTTGCCGATATTTTCAGTATCATAATATTTTGGTATCATATTTCAGAATTGACGCAGGATACAAACGAAGTCCAACAGATCATGCGAGCCACGCAAAAATAACTGCCGGGTCCACCAATTATGTTGATTTTGCAGCACAATTGAGCACAGCTGCTGGGAAACCCAAAGGAAACTTCAAACTTTATATCTTGTCTGTAATTAACAGCAACGGAGTTTACTCCTATGACAATAACAAATGTACTGCATCCCTAAGTGTGGACATCCCAAAATTGAATCGTGGCGTAAGTATTTTTTATATTTTTTCTGTCATTTCTTCGGTCAATTGCAAGCTAGAGGAATAACTATGTTAGTGCTATTATGGTATCATATGCAAAATTGTCCAGTGATTAGTTTCCCTGCGATTTTGCTTCTTCATGTAGATTTTACATAGTTTGAAGGTAAAAAAACACAAAAGCCTTATGAGCTAATTAGGCTAACTATTTCATGATTAGGCGAATTATTTTGTTTGGGAAGGAGAAGATTTTAAGGCCAAATTCCAGTCAAAAATCAGATGAAAATGGGGAGGGGAGTATCAGCTCAGCATTTAGTAAGTTTGAAAGGGAAATGGTCCTGGTTTGTGTTTTGGGTGTGTTTCAGGAGGAGAAAGGGTAGGAAAAAGTTGGACACATGCTTGTACACACCTTGTGACAGCCGTGCATGTGTTGCATCAAGGAATCAACCCATTAGTAAAAAATCGATTTTATTTAAATTGGAAAAAATTAAAAGACAAAAGTTTTTCGTAGGTATTTATTTTTTTAAATCAACTGAATTTATTTTAAGTATACATTTTTTTCAGATTGAAGGCAAAGCTGAATTAACCCACTCTGGTGGCAAAGCGGCAGGATTTGCGGAGCTGCAATATGATGCTAAGAAAGACCCTAGTAAGAAAATTCGGTTTGAGACCAACTATGATGTCAACAAAGATAAAGGCTACCAGTTCAATAGCAAGTAAGTTTTTAAGTTCATTGTCGCAAGTCTGAAAAACAATTAGTTGACACAAGTTAAGTGGGAGGAATTTTGCTGCATATCAAGAAGTCAATGTAAGGGGTTGGAATCGGTGGCAAGGCGTGAATGGTCGATTATCGATATATCCCCATTTGAAGCTGTAGAAGGAATCGATTGTTAATTTGTTCGTTGCGAACGCCCTATTTATTGATCTTTTTTAGGCAGATCTATCGATATATCGCAAAGCATGCCACGCCACCGGTTGGAATGTTGACATTTTTTCTTAAATATTAAAACTACCTGGTGAGTTGACAATGAAATATTCTTGGCTTTTGAATCAGATAGCAACTTTCTATCTGAGAAGCATTATTAATATTAACTTTTTACTCTTCTTCAGAAACCTTCTTTTTGTCAATGCGGACAAATACACTGTCAACCTGAACTTTGGAAGGAATGGATTGATAACTGATGGGCAAGTGTCATTCGATTCAGAGCTTATTTTACCAAGCACCAGGAAATACACTGCCAAGTACTCCAGCGATGTCCATTTGGGTGGTAGCGGAGATAAGAATTTCAAAGTTGACGCAGGAGTTACTCATGCAGCATCAAAAGATGCGCAACCATGCAAAGTTCATTTGAAAGTATCAGCCAAAAACATTGATTTCAAGGTAGGAACCTATGACGGACAGTCAGAAGTAGAGTTTGTCTCCACCGATCAAAAAGACATGAAAATCAATGTTAGCGGAAAGAAGACCAAAGCTGAGGATATCAACTCAATCAGCGGACAGGTAGGTGTTATTTCCATTTACTTTCAAACTATCTTTTCCCCCTTTCAATTTTTCTTTAATTTATTCCCTAATAATTTATTTTTGGACATATGTTGCCTTCATGCCAAAAAAGGACCATGGCATCTTTTTTTGAAGAAAGCGATCATGGCTTCTCAACATGTGGCAGGTCTTAACTTTCCAGTTATAAGTGTCATGGGGCAACATGCCCTATCTTGTTATTTTACCTCCTTTTCTGAGGAGTCATTTGACTTATGATTAACCATTTTTATAGTCCAGGTTGAGCATTTGGCCTCTTAGTGTGTTTAAAGATTGTTGAGCAATTTTTGCTTGCCTGATAGGACTGCAGGATATCCAGTTTCGGAAACCTGTGTGGCCTGAAGAGAGAGTATTGGCAGTGTTGAACTCAAATACGGCAGAGCCGGGTCGCCTCAAGCCAGCATGAGCACCTAGTAATTAAATAAATGAATTCTTCTCTTGTTTTTCACCGTCATATGTAATCCTGTAATTTTATTTGTATTGGCACGAAACCTGTATGTACCTAGGCTCGGATGTAATACTGTAACTTTATTCTCTGTCAGTTTTTCTTTCTTTCTTATGTTACAAATATTATAATCAAAATGTATGTGCTTTGAAGAGGTAATAAATAAAATAAAAAGTGTTGAACTCAAGCAGTAAAATGAGCTTATGCAAGTTGCATTACACCCTAAACTTCATAAAACTTCTCCAATTATTAATTTGGAATCTTTGCATGTTTGTTGATATTTTTTCGACTAGTTACCTGGAGAACAGAGATAGATTGTACCCATTTTAACCTCAAAGACTCTAGGTATATGATTTTTTGAGCTTTGACTCATTTTTTGTCTCTTTTCTTTGAAAAAAAATTCAGAAATGCTGTCAAATTTGGTTGTGTTGCAGTTAGTGAACATTCTTATCTTGCTGCTTTTAACTATTATGCTGCCAGAGGATTATTGTTTTTTTAATTAATATGTCTTGTGGTTCACAGGTCTCTGTTCAAGGATCCCTTGTGTCTCACCCGTTCAATGGTAAATTTGAATCCGATACCAATGCTTCTCCATCCAAAGGCAAATTTGTTGAATCTAATTTCCATCTTGCACTGGCAGCTGGTTCTGAATTCCAACTCAATGCAGCTCAAAAGATAACAAAAGAATCATTCAGCCATGAAGTTTCTGGCAAGTTCCCTCAAACGGGTTTGATACCCCTGATATCTGTTAAGTTCAGCACGGTCAACAACTTCAACTCTGTGGCAAAAGCAGCCGGCAAACCATTGAAGGTAAAGCATCATTTTTATTACAAGTTTGTATGACAAGAGTTTTGAAAATTCCAATTTTGACTTCTGAAGAATGGAATTATAATTTTCTAAGGAAACGTTAAACATGTCGAACAGATAAAAAAAATATCACTTATTTCTAATTACACTGGTCGGTCGGTTATTGGTAATAACTGACACACTTTTTTGACACTTTTACTGAAAATGTTTTTCCCAAGCATTATTACTTTTGACCATCAATTTTTCCTTAGTTGATCTAACCAGTGCAATTTTATTTTTACTTGTTTCAAGATCAAATCAGCAAACTCACTCTACTACACAGATAAAACAGGTGAAAAGTACGTTAAGTTGGACGGTGACTACACAGAAGTCGCAAAGGGTGGCATTGTATCACTTCAAGTTTCTACAAATGAAATCACTCCTCGTCAATTCACTGGTGAGAATGTGTTTAACCACTTGACAGTAAACTTGTGTATACAAGTTGAAAATAAAGCATTGATATTAGATGAGGCTCTTAAGAGATGAATCACATACAACTATTATTTATTACCATTATCATTTTAATTTTTTCTCCTCTTGTGATAACTACTACAACGATCAACATCCTCGAGCAAAACGATTTTTTGAAGAAGTCTTTGCTAAACTTAAAAAGGAAGAGATTTGCATACCGAAAATAGAATGGTTTTTTACATTAGTGCTCCTCTTTAAGAAAAAGGAGGGGGGAAAAAAGTTATGAGTAATGTGTAGAGCAATTTGCCGAAGTATTTAAAAAATTCTATACTTTAAATGTTGGTCTTCCTCTGTAACAGAAATCACTCAATCATGAAAATTTGTTGCATAACAGGTTCTTACCATTATGATTCTGGTGACACATACAAGGGAGATGCCTCCTTAGCTATCAAGAAAGGTGAACAAGAAGGGAAGATAGTTGTCAGTGGAGAAATTTACAAGACAATTTTCGGTGGTAGCCTAAAAATATCCGGCCAAAATCTTGCTGGAAATGGTCAAGGGTCTTTCGATTTAGATGCAGTGCACAAGGTGAGCCGTTTACTCTAATCATTTTTTCAGGTATCATACCATGGATCTCTTTTATTTTGTCAGGGTTTTTCACAGACTTAAAATCATGAATTTGACATCTTTTTGATTTGAAAGTTTTAACATTCTAATATATTTTCTCAATTTCCCTTGAAACATTAAATATCATGCAGCTTACCTGATATTTATATAAAAATTTTGATCATTACACAGCTCAAAATAACTCTGAAAGTAGGGCCTGAGTGAAAACTGTTTCAGTGTTCTCAGGCCATGAAGTGAACAATATTTCAAAACAAGGTATTTTTGAAAGATGTATTAAAATGTTAAATGAATATCAATTAGTTGAACAAGCTAAATTTTAAGAAGTAATCTCAAATGTGTATACTGATCATTTATTTTTTTATTGATTCATTTTACATTTCATATTTTTTTTCTTTTGTAATAAGTAACCACCATCTTATAAAATCTATTTTATTTAATTTTTTTCCACAGTACAACAAAGAAAAGAAGAGCTCGTCAACAGACATCAAAACTAATGCAAACGGTAAAGCAGTCTCTCTCTATCACTTAGTTGAATGGAATTCTGATAAACCTGTTTTTGATCTCTCCCTGAAAATACCCACTGGCGAAAATCGATTCTATGTCAAAGGAGAAAAGAAAGACGCTGGCCATTACACAATGGAGTCCAAAATAAATTGGATCAAAGCAGATGGAGGTGGCAGTATTAATCTCGATGGAGAAGGCAAATTCACGTCTTTTGAAGATTTCTTTGTGAAATACAACATCGACAGTCCAAAATTAAATCTTAACAAAATCCACGTTGATGTCGCAAACAAACCTAGCAATGATGAAGCCAACAAAATTACCTTCTCTGTACGGTCTGCTGAGAAGAACATTGTCTCTGGAAAGTGAGTGTAGTACCAAATATTTTTATTGAATGGTCCTTAAGTGTAAGGCTCATATTTTGGTTCATGGTTCCTTATTTTTAATGTCTTTGTCAGACCATCTGGAATGACGCCTGATAATACTGGTGTTTGATAGAATGCACAATTTAGACCACTCTTGAGAATTGTTATTGTTTGAGGTGTGCAGAGATGACTCCCAAAAAGTAGACTTGCTGGTTAAATGGCTTCTTTAATTTTGAAGTGAAGCTGGAATTCTAATTTACATTGGCACCGTTGAATCTAAATACTAAGTTCTTTTTATCTCCTATTCATTATTACCAGCTTATTGTATTTTGTTTTCAATTTAAAGAGGAACACCATTGAGTTTTTTGTGTTTCTATTTTTGAATTCAGAATCTATAAATGACCATCTGCAACTCTTACGAATAATGGAAAAAGTTAAATTGAATAAAACATAAATGTAGTTTGGATGTGACCAACGTTCGTTGGATTTAAGAAAGCACAGGTGGCACAATAGAAAGGCATGCAAGTATGCCTTAAACTGTTTATAAGTTGTTTTTCTAATAAAATCAATTTGTTTTATTTTTTGCTAGCTCCAATTATAAGCTCTCGGAAGAAGGACCCAAGGTGACTTTGGAAGGCTCTGGAACCTTGAAAGTCGATGCTAAGAGTTACCCAATGACTTTCTCCCTCCACCGTCAGAAACTGTCAACAGACACAGATGGTGAAGAAGGAAAGTCTGTAAGTCTTCATGCTGTTTTGTATCTTTCCTCTGTTTTTTTGTTTATTTCTCCCTATTTTTTATTCCTCCACTCTTTATCGTTTAACTTTGAGATATGAGCATAATGATCTATCATCTCTCTCTATTTCTATCTATTTTATCTCTGTTTTGCTCTCCACTCTTTATTTTTAACGAGATTTAAGTAGTTGTTTTAAATTGATTGATGTAGTGGATATTCTTAGAGCTGTTAATGATCTGATGTTGAAATTACCGGATGCTTTTCTGCCAGCAATCAAGTAGCAGTGAAGACTGTTTTCTTAATCTATCATTTCGCTCTTCCTCTCAAATACAGACAGAATTGTGGTAAAAGCTACATCTCCAACCCTTTAAGTCTATACTGGGAGAGTTTGTGTAAGATGATCATCCCTGTAATTCCTCTAACAAGTTGATTAGTGTCAGTATAATAAAATTACTGATTTTACAGGCTTTTGCACCAATCCTATCACTGAATCATCTTCAAAATGTTGAAAATGAAAGTTTAAGGAAATTGTATTTTATGTCAATTATGCTTTCTGCAAAAATAAGAAGAAAATGAAGGTTCTTAACTTCTTAATTTAGACACTGGAATTCCAGGTTTCCTCATTGAGTTTCGATCATTTTTGTAGGTTAAGATGTGATTTAGATTCATGAAGTCAGAAAAAGAAAATATTCTAGAAAAATATGACATAAATAGTAGCAAAACATTGGTGAAGATTATTACAGGCTTCAAGGTCATAAAATTCTTATTATTCTGTTTTCAGATCAAATTCAATTTTGAATCAAAGGAATTGCCCGCTAGTTACAATGGTTTCTCTAAATACTCAAATAAAGAAGTCGTGCATAAACATAAATACTGTTACAAAGACCAATGTGACAAAGTAGAAGCTGTATCAAAAGTCAAATCCTCAGGTAAGTTTGCGCACTATTTTTAAAGTCTATTATAATCGTAGTCTTTTATCTCCTGTAGGATGGTCATAAAATATCTTCATAACAAATCTAAATGAACGTTTGTATAAACAGCACCTCTTGATACAGTATCAAAATTTTATAGGCTTTTCCTCAATATTTTATTTTTCCTCCTCAGGTCAAAAATGAGAGGCAAAGAACAAAACAGTTGATAGAGGAAGTCTTAAAACTAGAGAATGCTGGAGAATAATGTTAACAAACAGAATATAATTCCTCTTGAGTGTAATGCAATATGTAAAATTAAATATCTAAGTCAAGGTCAGACTAAAAGTCTACCAGAAAAGGTAAACTAAAAAAAAAAAAAAAATTGTGAGGAGCTGTCAATGAAATATGTAACGCTAAATTTTGGGATTTTTCGACCCTCCCTATCCCTCCTTGTAATGCTTTTGTGAGGTATGTCTTCATCTTTTAAAACGTAAAAACAAAATGGCCTAATGCTCTCCACAACCACCCTCCCCTTCTTTGAGCGCTATGTATTTTATGTGAGTATATGCTGTATTATTCTCCCAAATTCATTCAGAGTTACTTGTTTCCCAGATATTCCTCATGTTATGCTCATTTCACCTATGGTGGCAGCAAGATAAATCAATTAGAAGTCTGGATAAATTTGTACCAACATCTTTGTAAGTTGTTGAACAAATTTAAGAGTGAAGGCATAAAATTTACCCATAATGGTGAAAACCTGCAATCATTTTGTGATGAACCTTACTTGATTTCACCTCTCGTTTTATGGTTCATTATATTCTCTGTTGATCTTTGTTTCCACAGATGCTCTTGAATTTGAGCACGAATTGAACATGAATTTTGACCTGGGTCTCTCAGCTAAAGTCCAAGGAGCAGCCCTGAAAGCAACCACCACTGTTTCAGCTAAAGCATTGACTATCGATCAGAACGTTGCTCTTCAGCTATCGCCGACTGATAAACTCCAGTACCAAGTATATGTTCACAAAACAGCCTCAGGTGAGTCAATGCTTCTATCTTTTGCTAATATTATGATTCCTCATCATGAGTGCATAATGCTGCTGTTATAAAAGGCGCAACTCCGCTTTCATATAATCTGTAGTAAGTATGGAGATATGCAGACACTAGGGCTTGTCTGAAGTCGAATAGAAGGCACACAATTTGAAAAATAAATTCAATTCAGTCTTGTATTTGTAATTTTGAATAATCAAATGTTGTGCCTAATGAAATTTTAACATCTCATGGTAGAAAATGAGTGAGAATGTCAAAATTCTGTCGAAAATGATGCTTAATTTTGGGACTAAGAAGTATGACTGTTCAAGTATCCCGTGCCAAACTTGAAGGAGAGAGAGTTTGAGTTAGGTAAGTTGCTGTACAAAGGGGCATAAGGTAGAACGACGTACTATCATGATGTCTGCAGAACAGGAAATGAAAAAAGATTAAGGAGAAAAAAGGACGTGTTGCAGAATTCATTGAAATTCTATTCCAATGTTTTCTTTGCACTGGTATTTCTTTATCTCATTTGCTTTCACCTTCAATTCAACCATCATCACCACAGTCATCATTTTTTGAAAACTTGGTTCAATACCCCCCCTTCCCGATATCTCAGGATTTGTAGATTGGAACATCAGGGAACTTCTACTGGTACTTCTGCCCTGCATAGCTGTCAGTTCTTCAAAATCTGAATTTTTTTGTTCTTTCTAGGGGTGGTTTTGACCCTTCCAAAAAGAGTTATTGCTGCGGAAGCAACCTATGCTGCAAGTTATAAACCAGAGAAAGCAGCTCTTAAATACGAAGGAGCCTTATGGTTGGACAAACCAAAAGCCAATACGAAAACTTCAATTTCCTTCATTGGAAGTGCCTCACGTACTCCTGGTAGCTACAGTTTTGCCTCCAACGGAGAGCTGAAATTCACAACACCTGCTCTTGGAGACAAGGTTTGTAGAACTTTCCATTCTTCAAAGGACATTGGCGCAAAATGTATTCATGTACAGTAAATGTAAAAATTCCCAACCAATAATCTAACTCTAGTCTTTGCAATAAAGTTGATTGCAACACAATTTTGGTAAATATAATTTTATACCTTGAGTAATATAGTGAGTTCTCTCTTCTCTAGTATTGCTTTATGGCAAAGCTGTGGCGATATTAAATTTTATCACTGTGGCTTGGATAATAATTGTCATTACAGAGCGATTGGAACACTACAATACAACTCAACATTTTGAATCGTTAAAAATCATGGCAGCCTGTGTACTCTCCGCAGCACTTTTAATTCATATCAACAATGGTGGAAAAAGCTCATGGCTAAAAGGTGGTAGCTTTCCAGAAGAAATTTGGAACCATTAATGGTCATTAATCTGTTTTTATGCGAGTTTTCAATATTTATTCTGGGTTTGTTTTCAGGACTTAATATTGAAAGGCCATTCGTCCATTTTGGAAGATTCAAGCAAAATTCTGGACTCCGGTGTTGAAATAGATATATTTGCTAAGAAAACTCAAAAGATCACCATAGACTCCTCCATCACCCATGAGAAGAAACCTGACGGTTTCAAAGTGAATGGACTCTTCCAAGTTAAAAGCAAAGTAAGTAGGTTGCATCCAACCTGTTTTCTGCATATTATATTTTCATTAACCCCCCCTCCCCCCCCCCAACCTAATACGGGAGGATTAAACTAGTAACTTACAATCAATATGGGCGGATTAAGTTAGAATTATCATAAATGCATCTCAAGCCACCTAATTTCTGCTTGTGCTTTAGTTTACAGCAAAAAAGTAACCAACATAAAACCTTTAAACTTTCTGTGAAATTCCCCCAAGATTCAAAATATACATCAACAAAATTTTAAGCCAGAATTTTGTATTGATTTGTGTAAAGATAAATGACGGAATAATTAAGTATGAGAGGAATCGTAGCAACGCCTGATCAAGTCAGGCTAAGTTTAGTCAAAGTTGTCCATTCATTTTCTGTTAGAATACATTTTAATTTTTAACCTAAAAAATCATTATAGAATATCTTTATGTGATTAGAATGTAATTATAATTATTATAATCATTTTTTGTGTGTAATGTCCCATTAAAGTTACGAAGTTATGGCAAAAATTACAATTTTTAGAGGGCCCCTCTTAGTAGATTTTTATTCTCTCTCTCCTTTTTTATCCTCTGATGTAGACCCCCCATCTTTCTTACCTCTTAAAATATCAATGTTCTTTCAAAGTTTTAACTACTCCAGTTTTCATTCAACCTGATCTTCCATTTTTTAGGGTCAAAATCTCGATTCTGAAGTGGCATGGATGAGTTCTTATGAAAAAGGAGCCCTACGTTATGATGTCAATGCTTATTATATCGATGGAAGCAACAAGAAACAGGAATATGTATCCAAGTTTGAAGCCAGTAAAGAAAAGTTTGATGGAAGTGTGAGTAGACTTTTTCTTTTTTTTTAATTTAAGCCATCCTGTCTATTTCATCTTTGCCTGATTTCACAATATGTGACCATCCGCAGAAAAAGTTACCTTACTGCAAAAAAAATTAAGTAATCAGTTATTCAGACTATTGCACTAAGGATTGTTTAAAGAACATTTTGGGACTAAAAGCTCCCAAAAATGCCAGACCGAAACTGAGTGTAAACGGTTTGAAGTTCAACAAAAGTGTGACAGGAAATCTGCAACGCTGCAAACCCAGACAGGCATTTCTGCATTATCATCACCGATATATTGCACCAGTCTCCTTCTCTGTCAATGAAGTTAAGTCCACAGACTTTTGACAGTCAATTAAAAAAGAAATTTGGAGTTAAATGTAAAGACTTTTCAAAACAATTCAGGGTGATGGTTAATTTCTGGATCAAAATCACCTGGTTCACTAGACGTCCATTCATGAAAATGCATCACTAAGGGAAATGGTTGCAAAAAACCCGATTTGCTGGCCAACTGGTTAATCTAAAATGTTGCGCCAAGATGCATGTAACACTTATTTTCCTGGCATCATATGTCTTCTAGGTTCAACATTGAAATATTTTTTTTTACAACTATGATTGTTTACCTCAACCTCTAAATACTTCTCATTTTCTGTTCATTTATGCATAGATATTTATCTCGTTTCAGGTGAAAGTTTTCGACCAACAAATATTTACTGGTGCCTCGGCCCTTAAGCTGGGTCAGAAAGACTATTATGCTGGTCTTGAAAAGAAGTATGAAATTTTCGGTAGGAAATATGAAGAAAGTGGCTACATATACCATGACGGAAAATTCAAGTATATCTACAAATGGATATGTAAGTACTAAGAGAATTATTATTAGCACATAGTTAATCTTCAGAAAAGTATAATGTTTGAGAGGACTAACACCTGGAGAGGTCTTATGAAATTTGGGAAGTAAGTTCTTAAATTGAGTAAATGCTGCAGACCCAGCATGAGAATTTGCAAATCTATCCAAAATACATGTGAAAAGAAGCAACAAATCTGACACATTCCTGCATTGCATCTTGCTCTACTCAGGGGTCCAGTCTAGTCAGAGGGTAAATAGAACGGTGGATAATACAAAGTTTAGAAGAATATGCCAAACGTCTAAATTTAGAAAGAAAATAATAATCATAAATTATCACTGTAGTTTCAAAGACGAAAAGGTGGGAACATAAGTAGTATTACCTCATTTTCGTAGGTCTCAAAAAATGAAAGAAAATTGCAGTTAAAATTCATCTTCCTACTAGATATCAGATTTCTAATTTCAATGTTTTTTTTTTGTACAATTATAGCTGCTGGTGACAAATCGTTAGAAGTCAATGGAGGCATTGCACCCGGAAAAGTAGCTGATTTCAATGTTTACTACACTGACGGAGCCAAGAGTCCCATATTGGAAGCATCTATTGCCCTTGATGAGGCTAATTTCTTAAAACCCACTCAAAAGTTTAATGCTGACACCTTGAAACCACTAGCTGTAAGTTCTTAAACTTTTTCTGGGTAGAACTGCATTGATAATTGGTGGCGGTGAGAGAAAAGAGTAAATGACTAAAGTTGATTCAAACCTACTAAACTTGTATCGGAATTTTTGAGGAGAATCGCCAAAATATGCTGCGTTTGAAAGAGAAATTAATTTTCAATCAACTAGAAATGACCTCAATCTATAAAAATTAGGTTTTAAGATCTGAATAGTTTGGATTTAGAGCACATGATTGGAATCAGCAAAATTATGACCAAAAGGTATAACAAAAGGAGGGGTGGCGATTTGGGCCATTTCCGGCCCCACCTAATCCGGGACTTTTTATGCTGTGATTCGTTACGTATAAGTGTCAAGAGAAAGCATGCCAAGTTTCAGGCCGATCGGCCCAATATTCGGGGGGCAGGGGCCCCCCGAATTTTTAAGCGCAAAATCGGTTTTAATTTTGTAGCGCCGTCAATTTCGCTCGTATACAGATGAAAATTGGGTGTCAGGGGTAAAATTTTGCGTTCTTTCCATTTCCGCCGTCAAAATTGACACTGGGGCAAAATTAAGGGGGATTTTGGGGGGTTTTTCGCGTTTTTTCGCGTTTTTTACCAATTT